TCTGGGACATCAATGTCCACTTTGGGCCCTCTGATGTCAACTTCAGGACCCTTGAGGTCACCTTCAACTTTGGGCAGAGAAACGTCCACATCACCCTTTACCTTGGGACCCTTAAGATTCAGGTCGACTTCAGGCATGGAGATCTTGGGTGCCTTGAGGTGCAGGTCAGGCATTTTAAACTTGGGGCCCTTCAGTTTCCCTTCTGGACCATGAATGTCAATGTCAGGAGTGTCTATGTCCACCTTGGGTCCTGAGACATCAATGTCAGCTTTGGGCAGTTTCACATCCACTTCTGGGCCCTCTCCTTTAAAGCCAGGCATGCTGAACTTCGGCATTTTCACCTTGGGCATCTTCAGGTGCCAGTCTGGGCCATGAACATCCACATCTGGGGCATCAAGGTCCACTTTGGGCCCTTTGATGTCAATTTCAGGAGGCTTTAGGTCTCCTTCCACCTTAGGCAGGGAAACATCCATATCTCCTTTCACCTTAGGACCTTTCAGGTGCAAATCAATGTCAGGCATGGAGATCTTGGGGGCTTTGATGTTCATCTCTGGCATCTTGAACTTGGGGCCCTTCAGTTTCGCATCTGGACCTTCGATATTCACATCTGGAACTTCAACATCCACCTTGGGTGCTGAGACATCAATGTCAGCCTTGGGGAGGTTCACATCCACATCAGGGCCCTCTCCTTTGAAGCCTGGCATGCTGATCTTGGGCATTTTTATCTTGGGCATCTTCAGGTGCCAGTCTGGGCCATGAACATCCACATCTGGGGCATCAATGTCCACTTTGGGGCCTTTGATGTCAACTTCAGGGACTTTTACGTCCCCTTCCACCTTAGGCAGGCAAACATCCATATCTCCTTTCACCTTAGGACCTTTCAGGTGCAAATCAAAGTCAGGCATGGAGATCTTGGGGGCTTTGATGTTCATCTCAGGCATCTTGAACTTAGGACCTTTCAACTTTCCTTCTGGTCCTTCAATATTAACGTCGGGGCCTTCAATGTCCACCTTGGGTCCAGTGACATCAATGTCAGCCTTGGGCAGGTTCACATCCACATCAGGGCCCTCTCCTTTGAAGCCTGGCATGCTGATCTTGGGCATTTTTATCTTGGGCATCTTCAGGTGCCAGTCTGGGCCATGGACATCCACATCTGGGGCATCAATGTCCGCTTTGGGACCTTTGATGTCAACTTCAGGGCCTTTCAGATCCCCTTCAATCTTGGGAAGGGAAACATCAACATCACCCTTCACCGTGGGGCCCTTCAGGTTTAAATCAATGTCAGGCATGGAGATCTTTGGAGCCTTTAGGTGCATCTCTGGCATCTTGAATTTGGGCCCCTTCAATTTCCCCTCTGGGCCTTCAATGTTAATATCAGGAGTGTCAATGTCCACTTTGGGGCCCTTGATGTCCACCTCTGGGCCCTTGAGGTCACCTTCCATTTTCGGCAAAGAGATGTCCACATCGCCTTTCATTTTGGGGCCCTTCAGGTTCAGATCAAAGTCCGGCATGGAGATCTTAGGGGCTTTGATGTTCATCTCTGGCATCTTGAACTTGGGACCTTTCAACTTTCCCTCTGGTCCTTCAATGTTAACATCAGGGCCTTCAATGTCCACTTTGGGTGCTGAGATATCAATGTCAGCCTTGGGCAGGTTCACATCCACTTCTGGGCCCTCTCCTTTGAAGCCAGGCATGCTGAACTTGGGCAGTTTCACCTTGGGCATCTTCAGGTGCCAGTCTGGGCCATGGACATCCACATCAGGGGCATCAATGTCCACTTTGGGGCCTTTGATATCAACCTCTGGCCCTTTCAGATCCCCTTCAACTTTGGGCAGAGAAACATCCACATCTCCTTTCACCTTGGGGCCCTTGAGGTTTAAATCAATGTCAGGCATAGAGATCTTGGGAGCTTTGATATTCATGTCGGGCATCTTGAGTTTGGGACCTTTGAAGCCTCCTTCTGGACCTTCCACATTGATTTCTGGGCCCCCAATGTCCATTCTGGGACCCTCTATGTTGACATCTCCTTTTGGAAGACCCACAGCCATATCGGGCCCTTCTGCTTTTAAGCCAGGCACGCTGAACTTGGGCATTTTCATTTTGGGCATTTTCAAATTCCAGTCTGGACCATGAACATCCACATCAGGTGCATCAAGATGAACTTCTGGCGCCTTAATGTCCACTTTGGGTCCTTTAAAGTCACCTTCTAGATTAGGCACTGCAACATCTAAGTCTCCTTTGACTTTAGGACTTTTCAGATTTAACTCCACATCAGGCATAGAAACTTTAGGAGATGAAATACTCAGGAAAGGCATTTTGAACTTGGATCCTTTCACTTTTCCTTGGACCTCAACATCAGGAGCATTAATATCAACTTTTGGACCTGTTACATCAATATCTGGCTTTTTAACTTTGACATCCACCTCAGGTGTCTGAACTTTGGAGCCCGAAAAATTGAATTTGGGAAGCTTAAAACGAGATTTCTTTGCCTTGCCTTCAACATTGAGCTTAGGACCAGAAATGTCCACTTCTGGGCCCTTTACATCCAACTTGGGAGCTTTAATGTCACCTTCCAATTTGGGCCCACAAACTTCAACATCTCCCTTAAGCTTTGAGCCTTTTAAATTCAGGTCAATTTCTGGCATGGAGATCTTGGGCACGTTTACATGCATGTCAGGCATCTTCAGTTTGGGACCTTTTAATTTGCCTTCTGGGCCATGAATGTCAATATCTGGAGCATCTACATCTATCTTTGGGCCCTTGATGTCAAGAGTAGGGCCTTTCAAATCACCTTCTACATTTGGAAGTGAAACATCCACCTCTCCTTTCACTTTAGGGCCTTTAAAGTCCAAATCAGGCATCGATATTTTAGGAGCTTTGATGTTCATCTCTGGCATTTTGAACTTAGGGCCCTTCAGTTTTGCATCTGGTCCTTCAATATTCACATCTGGAACATCAATGTCCACCTTGGGCCCTGAGACATCAATATCAGCCTTGGGAAGACTCACATCCACTTCTGGGCCCTCTCCTTTGAAGCCAGGCATGCTGAACTTGGGCATTTTCACCTTGGGCATCTTCAAGTGCCAGTCTGGGCCATGA